GGTAGATAGGTAATAATGGCGCATACATTGCAGCCTCAAATATCTCCCTAGAAACTATTTCAAAACAAGTCTATGTTGTGGCACATGCATCCTTGCCTTTTCTTATGAACCCAACTCTTTTCCATATATGAGTCAAACTCACCCTTTAAAAGCCAGCTCAGGTACCCCCAACTCCTACAACATTTGTAGGGTATGCCACGCATTTCAGCATGGAATTGGATCAAAGGCTGTCTAAGTTTCATTTTCTTTTCTGCCCTTCCCCAACACCACCACACATTCAACTGTGAACTGTAATCTAGTCAGTGCAGATACAGTGTGTGATCACTTGCCAGGCATCCAGTTCTTGCTGATTACAGCCTGTCAAAGTGCAGCATTGTCTTGAATTAAAGGGCAAGACTTAATGAGTGGAATTAAGTAATCTCTAATAGGAAGATCCAAGTTTTATGATTTTAGGAATCTACTTTGGCAATTAATTTTTGTGGAGGCCCTTTTATAAAACTGGGAAATCACATTCAGCAGAGAAGAAAAACAACTGCCAAGGGGAAACACTGGTTACAAATTTAGTAATTGATATGAAATACTACTACTGAGTCATCAAGAATTAACCTCTTCCAAGATTATATGGGAATTAATGATGCCACATTGTTGACTAGCACTTTTATTGTTTTGTTTTTTTACACTTAATTTTTTATTTCTTTTGGAGTTTATTCTGGTGGAATTTATCAATCCCACTTCCTTTCCTAGATGTCCATCTAGTTGATTTCACGCTATTTATTGACCACTATTTTGAGTGGATACCTTTATCATATACTAAATTCCTGGATGTATTTGCATCCGTTTCTATAGTTCTGATTCTTTTCCATTGGTCTATTCATGGACAAATACCACACTGTTGGAATTTTGGGGTTATATATTTTAATATTGGGAATATTTCCCCCTTTACTCTTCTTTTGAAGAGTTCATAGCTATGCCTATTTATCGACATGCATTCTAGAATCAACTTACCTAGGTAAAAAAAAAAATACCAAAACCACTTGGTATTCTTATTAGAATCATGTTAAATTTATATAACTTAGAAATAAAGGAAATCTTTATGATGTCAAGAATATACATATCCAAGAATATCCCAAATGTCTTCCACTTGTTCAAGTCTAGTTTTGTGTTTACCAGGGGTATCTTATAGTTTATTTTATTTTATTTTTTTAAAATATATTTTATGATTTTTTACAGAGAGGAAGGGAGAGAGCTAGAGAGCTAGAAATGTCGATGAGAAAGAAACATCGACCAGCTGCCTCCTGCACACCCCCCAGGGATATGCCCGCAACCAATGTACATGCCCTTGACCAGAATCGAACCCGGGACCTTTCAGTCCGCAGACCGACGCTCTACCACTGAACCAAACCGGCTTCAGCAGTATCTTATAGTTTAAAGGTTTTGAGACTTTTTAAAGATTAAACCTAAGGCTTTTTAGTTTAGTTTTTTTTGTGATTATATTATTAAATCTCCTAACTTGTGTTTGTATATATACATGCATCCATGTAACTTTGGAGTGGGTAGGGTTTTCTATGATTCAAAACACAGAAGTCATAAGAGATTAATAAATTCAACTACCCCAGAATAAATTTTGCATGCTAAAGACACCATAAGCTAAGGGAAAATTGTAAACTGAAAGGGAATATATGCAACTCATATCACAAATAGCTCCTACAAGTCAATAAGAAAAAAACTAACCCACCCACCAGAAAGCAGGGGTTGGGGGACAAAGGATGCAAATAAATTAGTCTATGAACAGATATACTCAACCTCACTTATAAGTTAATAAAAATTAATACTATACTGAAATACCATTCCTCATGTATCAGATTGGAAATCACATGGCTAATAAAACTATGAAAGAACAGACACTCATGCATTGCTGATAGAACTGATCAAGGAGGAACTGGTAAAATGCATTATGCTATCGGCCTTACAAGAAAATGCTATGCAGCTGTAATAAAAAAAATGAAGACACTCTTCAATTAATCATCTAGGAAGTTCAATTACTGATATAATGTTAAGTAAAAAGAAATGCTAAGTGCAGTATGGTATGTAAAACATGCTACCATCCTAAATAATAAAAGCCTAATATGCAAATCAACCGAACGGCGGAACAACCTGCTCATTATGATGCACACTGACCACCAGGGAGCAGATACTCAATGCAAGAGCTTCCCCCAGCCTGCAGGCCCCAGGCCAGCCAACGTGAGTGCCAGTGGGGGCCTCCCAATCACCCCGCCAGTCACCCCACAAAGGTAGGTGACTTGCAGCAGTGGGTGTAGGTGTGACTGGGGGGCAGGGCTAGTGAGTGGGTGGTGCCAGGCCAGCCAAGGCGGGTGCCAGTGTAGGCACCCTGATGGCCCCACCAGTTGCCCTACAGATTGGTCCTGATCACTGGCCAGGCGTAGGGACCCTACCCATGCATGAATTTCATGCATTGGGCTTCTAGTTTTTATACAAAAGCATATAAAATAAGTTTTCCCCCACTATCCGAACGTATTCTTATTTTTATGCTTTTAAGGAATTGCATCCCTATGAAACCTTTCAAAAGCTGAAATGATGTAAAGCAAAGAAGCAATTACCTTAGGACACATCTTGCTAATGGGTGCAAGATAATAAATCACACATGCTCAGAGGTCAAAGCTATGGCGGCTTGATGCTGACATGCTGAGTATAATTTCCAGGTAAGGAGCTTGTCCACTCTTGCTGCTCCAGATGCATACTGCAAAACAAACATTTAACACTGTTTTGGCTTTTTGCTTTTTTCATAAAAGCAAAATCCTTTCCAGATATTTTGGTTAAGGGAAACAAATATTAAGTTAAAACTGCATATATGTGTTAGAGATCAGAAGATGCTACAAAGAAATGTAAATAGTTGTGCTTCAGGAACTTTTCCATACAGTTTGTAAAAGAAGTGGCATAAAGCAAACTTCCAAAAACAAGGGATACCAGTATATATGTATTTGGATAAAAAAAGAATCGCATGTTTAAACTAATAAAAGTGCTCACTTGTAAGGTAATGAGTGGACAGGGAATGGGGTAGACAGGGATGGAGAGGAGTAACTTTTCACTATACACCTTATTAGTTTTTAGTTTTTTTAGTTTTGAAGCACACGACCATTACTTTTTCAATAATTAAAAATATTAGCTGCTTTGGTAAATTAAAAAATTTAAGATATTTAAGCTCATATGTTTTGCTCATTTTTTTTTCTATTTAACCCACAGGAATTAGAAGAGATAAACTTTTGAGTTCCTCAGAATAACCCAAATAAAATGTGTAAATCAATGTGAAACTTGTGTTTCCATTTTCTTTTATTTTTTAAGTACCTTATTTTTATTACAATGTGTTATCATATACACACACATGCGTGCACATGCATGTGCACACATACTCATACACACGCACATACACATACATACATACACACACACACACACACACACGCAGGATTTAAGATGAACAGAGAAACAAGGATAGCCTCCAAACAGGTTTTTTTTACAAAGTTCAAAATAGATTACATTGACATTTATGTGCTTTCCATTCATTACACAATGTATAGACATGATCCATTTAATGATTTATGCTCCCCAAATGGTTAAACCAATCAGGATTTTCTGTGAAAGAGTGTATGTAAAAGCTTTTAAGTTAGACTCAAAGAACTGTTTCTTGCTAAAACCAATCTCAGGCATACATTTTGTGTTTACATATACTCCTTGAAAACTATAGTAGCAGTGCGCAAGTTCATTCTGTAAAAAGATCTGAAAAAAACAATTGAGACTCTTAATGCATTGTGCTCTCAGATAAAAATCCTAAGTATGACAGTAACAGTTAAAACTGCATATATGTGTTAGAGATCAGAAGATGCTACAAAGAAATGTAAATAGTTGTGCTTCAGGAACTTTTCCATACAGTTGTTTTAATAATAAATATAAACTTAAAAATGTCTTGGTGACTGATATAAAATAGACACAGATATCAAGGATTTTATATACTTGGCGTAGGGTTTAAAGGTGAAAAATCATCTCCACATAAACCATCTGGTATCTGGTAATCCCAACCTGGCCTAGTCTCTTACAGTTAGGCAAGAGGCTGGGGAGAAAAAAACAGATTTTTCCTCATTATCCAGAGATAAAGCCAAGGTGAACCACTAAGTAAACACATGCCTCTCTTCCTTTAGGTTTCTCAGGCCAAATCAGAGAGGTCAGCCTACTTTTATGAGGTTTAAAATAACCCCACATGTTTGGTATCTGGACCCCAACCTATTCTGTAATTCAGAAGATGAATTAAATATGTCCTGTCTTCTGTGAGCCCTAGGATAAGAATGATTCCTCAATACTTTGTGCTTTATAAAAAAAACACACACACAAAAAAAAACAAACACAAAAAAATACTCTCCCACACATTAACTGTAAAACTCTTATTTCAGAAACACCATGGCAACTGTTTATAATAGAAGCCAAGGTATAATTTACATGATAATGTTGATGTTTGTAGCAAGGAAATAAATGTAATTTTATTTTTAGGCTAGTCAGTTTGCTGTTTTAGGCCTTTAACTAACTTAGAAGGACACATGAGCCTAACAATTAAATTTAAAGTGAATCAGCAAAAAGATGAGAAAATAACAAATGTTTTCATTAAAGTTATTTTATGCACAAGAGGTTTAGATATAAAAAGAATTTCCTCAAAGAATTTCCTCATTGTTACTCAGAAGCATCCTGGTGTGTGTGTGTGTGTGTGTGTGTGTGTGTGTGTGTGTGTGTGTGTTGTTTTTTTTTATAACATAATGTGCTGGAGTCCTTTGAATAAAATTATAAAGTAATTTAAAATATATATTATATATTTATAATCACTGTAAATCATTCAATAGTTTATAGCATATTAATGGAGTGAAATAGAGATAAAAGGCAGTCCACATTCATATTTTCAAGATAGATTTACTTCAGAAGTCAATTGAATTCCTTGCTCATGTTCTAAATATAGCCATTGTGATAAGACCTGAAAGAAAACAAAATGAAGAACAGTTAAAGACATGCATTTTACAAAATTTTCCATTCAATAAGCAATTGTTTAGCCCTCAATGAGCAAATAAAATATAGCACAAAGGCAGGTGTTCTACTAAGAACTTTAAGTCAATTTGAATTTAGTTGTTATTATACGTTAAAGACATGCATTTTACAAAATTTTCCATTCAATAAGCAATTGTTTAGCCCTCAATGAGCAAATAAAATACAGCACATAAGCAGATACTCTACTAAGAGCTTTAAGTCAATTTGAATTTAGTTGTTATTTTACAGAAGAAATCCAATTTATAGCAAAGGGCAGTCACTGGATATATTTATTGTCAGAACATAACTAATTTTTAACTTCCTATTGTATCCAATCACTTCAGCTATATAATAATAGCAAATGTGCCATTAAAGTGTCAGTAAAGCCAGAGGATTTCATCAACAAAAACTTTGTGGGCCTATTCGCATCCCAGGGCCCTAGAGCCACAAAGAGACAGAAGTGGAGTACTCCTGAAAGATTCCATACATAAAACCATAAAAAATTTAATAAAACGTTCAGTCCCAAATGAGTAGTTAAAAACCACAAATGTGGACTGAGCAGTCAGAAAACATACCCCAAAATGTAAAGCTGAAATAAGCCTAAAGATGTACAGAAAAGATACAGAACAATGAGATGGGCAGAGATTAAAGTGAGGGAAGGGCAAGGGCAAGGGCATGGATGAGAACCAATAAGTAACCTAACCACTCTAATTAAGGATTTATGTAGGGCAGCAACTAGACAAGAGTAGCTCAGATAGATCTCAGAGCATGAAAAGTCTTAAATGCCAAACTATAGATTTATACTTCATTTTATACTCTGGCAAGGGTATGGAACATCCAGCCAGTAGACCATATAAGGCCCTCAAAATCTTTTGGTCTGGCCCTGCCAAGATATTAGGGTTACTTAATTAAATGTTTGACCAAATATAACAGGCTAATTTTTAAGCAGATACTTTTGTATGGCCCAAGAATCCTATATGATAAAAGCCGAATGTGCTAAGTGTCTGGTCGTCCGTTTGGTCATTCAACCAATCAAAACGAAATATGCTAAGGCCATTCAACTGCTTGCTATGATGTGCACTGACCACCAGGGAACAGACAGTCAACCAGTTGCTATGATGTGCACTGACCATTAAGGGTAGATGCTCTGAACTGCAGGTTAGAGTTGCTGCTGGGGTCTGGCAGATCAGGACTGAGAAAGATGGGCTGGACATCCTGTAGCCCTCCCGGACCTCTCCAAGGCTAACCAACATCCCACATCCCTCCCTGGCCACGATCATGCACTGGTGGGGGTCCCTTGGATTGACCTGTGCCCTCTTGCAATCCGGGCTGAGGGACCCCCCCCATCAAGTGCACAACTTTTGTGCACTGGGCCTCTAATGATGTTATAAATATACAAATGTCCGTTGGCAGTAAAAAGGTTCCCCACTCCTGGACTATGGGGAATCATTGAAGGTTTTTGAGCAGGGAGTGTTGGTAGTGAAACCAAAACAGAATGGAAAGCAATCTGACAGCAATATAATAGATTTTTCTGGGGGGGAGGTGGAATAATGGGAAAAGCCAGAAATAGGAAGAGAAGGGACATAGTCAGAAGATAGGGAGACAATTTAGAAAACAATTTTGAAATTAGGAAGAGAATGCACCAGCCTGCCTAATGTGACTCAGAGGTTGAGCATCAACACAGGAACCAAGAACTCACCAGTTCAATTCCCAGTCAAGGGACATGCCCAGGTCGTGGGCTTGATCCCCCAGTAGGGGTCATGCAGAAGGCAACCAATCAATGACTTCCTCTTTTGTTGATGTATCTATCTCTCTTTCCCTCGTGCTTCCCCTCTCTCTAAAATGCAATAAAATATATATATATATATATATTTTTTTTTAGCCGAAGCTGGTTTGACTCAGTGGTAGAGCGTCAGTCTGCGGACTGAAAGGTCCCAGGTTCAATTCCGGTCAAGGGCATGTACATTGGTTGCGGGCACATCCCTGGGGGGGGGGGGTGTGTGTGCAAGAAGCAGCTGGTCGATGTTTCTCTCTCATCTGTGTTTCTAGCTCTCTATCTCTCCCTTCTTCCTCTCTGTGAAATATCAATAAAATTATATATATTTTTTTTTATTTTTTTTTTTTAAACAAGAGAGTGCACCAAGGAATAATGAAAAGAGTTGGCAACTTGGAGAAACCAAGATGGCAGCATAGGTAAACACCTAAATTGCTGCCTCACACAACAATTTCAAAACTACAAATAAAAGAAAAAACAGATATCATCCAGAACCACAGGAAAGCTGGCTGAGTGGAAATTCTAGAGAAAAGCACACTGAGACTCAGAGGAGCTACGGAAGTCAGAGGTACTTAGACACATGCGTGGAGAGGGCAGGCAATTGAGTTCACGGCTGCCTTTTTCAAGCAGGAGGCAGACAAAAGCTCCTGACTGCACTGAACTCGTTATGGACGAGACTCTGGGGACCCAGACTCATTCGGGGAGAAACTGGACGGTCTGGTAGCAGGCGAAACTCAAGGGCAACCTTCTCTCAGAGGTGCTTGCAGTGATTCATGGGACACTAAGACCCAGGGGACACTTAGGGCAGGGCTGACAGGGAAACAAATGTTCTCTACTCTGCCCTAAGACTCTGCCCCATTCAAGCTGAGCACAGAGGCTTTTTGCAAGTCTTGTCTCAGAAGGGTATCTCCAGCACAGAAGTTCTCCCAGTGTAGACACAGTGGTTCCTCATAGCCAATTGGCCTGGAGGTCAATTCCTTCCAGTGATACCAACAAAAATCAAGGCTTAACTACAACAAGACTGTGCACACAGCCTACAAAGGGGTGCACCAAGATTGTCCACCTCAGGTAACTGGGGAGCTGAGCCACTGGGCCATATAGGACACCTAGCACACAAAGCCACTCTATCAACTCAGGGAAGCAGCCAAAATGTGGAGACAAAGAAACAGATTACAAATGAAAGAAATGGAGGAGAGCAAATAACTGGATATAGAGTTCAAAACCACAATTATAAGGTTTTTCATTTTCTAGAAAAGGCCAATAAATTTAGCGAGACCCTCAAGGACATAAAAAAGGACCAACTAGAAATTAAACATATACTGACTGAAATAAAAAATATATATTATACAGAGGTCTATCAGCAGACTAGAGGATCGCAAGGATCAGGTCAAAGATTTAAATACAAAGAAGTAAAAAACCCTCAACCAGAAAAGAAAAAAGAATCCAAAAAGTTGAAGATAGTGTAAGGAGCCTCTGGGACAACTTCAAGCAAACCAACATCAAAATTATGGGGGTGCCAGAAGAGAGAGAGCAAGATACTGAAACCCTATTTGAAGAAATAATGACCAAAAACTTCCCCCACCTGGGAAAAGAAATAGACTTACAAGTCCAGGAAGCACACAGAACCCAAAACAAAAGGAATCCAAAGAGGACCACACCAAGACATAATTAAAATGCCAAGAACAAAAGACAAAGAGAGAATATTAAAAGCAGCAAGAGAAAAGCAGTTAGTTACCTATAAAGGAGCACCCATACGATTGTCAGCTGATTTCTCAACAGAAACTACGCAGGCCAGACGGGAATGGCAAGAAATATTCAAAGTGATGAATAGCAAGAACCTACAACCAAGATTACTCTACCCAGCAAAGTTATCATTGAAGGTCAGACAAAGAGCTTCACAGATAAGAAAAAGCTAAAGGAGTTCATCACCACCAAACCAGTATTATATGAAATGCTAAAAGGTATTCTTTAGAAGAGAAATAAAAAAAATAAAGATAAAAATTATGAACAACAATTACATATCTATCAAGTGAATCTAAAAATCAAATGAGCCGAGGCCAGTTTGGCTCAGTGGATAGAGCGTCGGCTTGCGGACTGAAAGGTCCCAGGTTCGATTCCGGTCAAGGGCATGTACCTTGGTTGTGGGCACATCCCCAGTAGGGGGTGTGCAAGAGGCAACTGATCGATGACTCTCTCGCATTGATATTTCTAGCTCTCTATCCCTCTCTCTTCCTCTCTGTAAAAAATCAATAAAATATTTTTTTAAAAATAAAAATAAAATGAATTAAAAATCTGGGGAACAGAATAAACTGGTGAATATATAGAATCAGGTACATAGAATGGGAGGGGATTGATAATTCTCAGGGGGAAAGGGATTTTGGGGGTATGAGAAGAGACTGGACAAAAATCATACACCTATGGATGAGGACAGTGGGGGGGAGAGATTAGGGTAAAGGATGAGGTGGGAACTGGTTGGAGGGGAGCTATGGGAGAAAAAGAGGAACAATTGTAATAATCTGAACAATAAAGATTTATTAAACTAAAAAAAAAAAGAGTGGGCATCTCAAAAGAGATGAGAGACTCTGAGCAAAGAGTCATTCATCAGCAGAACCTTAATCCTTCACACGTTAGGCAGGTACTGAATAAATGTTCCATTGAAGTAATTATAAATTTTCAAATTAGGATGACTAAAAAAAAATGCCTTAACAGGAAAAAGGGAAATTGGTTTAAAGAGAAAGATTCGTTACCCAGCCTGTGTGGCTCAGTGGTTGAGCATCAACTTATGAACTAGGAGGTCATGGTGCATGACTAGGTTATGGGCTCAATCCCCACTGGGGGGCATATAGGAAGCAGCCAATCAATTATTCTCTCTCATCATTGATGTTTCTATCTCTCTCTCCCTCTCCCTTCCTCTCTGAAATTAATAAAAATAAAGAGAAAAGTTCACAATATTAAACAAGGCTGCACTGTTCATCTCTATCACTGTATATACTTTGTCTAAGTGTTCCCTAGGATCAATTCCTTGAAGTAGAAAAGCTGTATCATGGAATATACGCATTTTACACATTTTATGCCATTGTAAGTCAGTAAAAAGATAATTGAATACAGTATCAGGTACTAAATAAACTAAAAAGAACTAAATGTGAGTCAAAAATTAAATCTTAAAATGTACTTGGCCTCAACTCTTGTTTATGTTTTGATAAAAAAAAAAATCAAATCAACACCACCACCATCATCCAATATACATAAGACCATCACTACCACCTCCAAGCCATACCTATTGCCTACACATATGTCCCAAATCTTTAAACTACTTACCTAAGATGTAAGCAGCCACTAATTTTTGATTCACACTTAAGTGGAGGTAGAGAGGCACCAGCGATTCCACATCCCCCAGTGTAGGAAGCATCAGAGCTGCAATGCACACCACTGCCAGGAAGACAGTTAGTAAACTAGGTCCTGAGGAGACAGTTCTGTTTTCTGTAACAAAAGACAAAAATCCCTGAGCTGCTTCCAAAAACAACTTAGACAAAAGTTTGTTCACATATACTGTCCACCATTCACTAGGATTCTGGTTTTGTCTAACTTCTCTGATTCTTCCTCCATCACTCCCATTCCATAGGGACCTATCTGCTGCACTTATCTGGAAGCCTATTCTTCTCTGAGTCATAGGGTGGAATGTTGAAACAGCATTGTGAGGTAGTGGGTTCCTATTGAAAGGCTAGTTTTCTTCCACACACTCTCCTCACCGTAATCAATAGAAAGTGTTCGAGCAAGTATCAGCTGTCTATGTTTATAAATTATATGCACAAATACTGTCCTATTACACTTTATATAAAATTTTTAATAATGGGATAAAAATAGACATTGAAATTCTGATGTTTTCTTCCTTTACCCTAATGGATTACTTATGTGCATTTCTTTCTGAAACACACTGCACTAGAGCTCCACTATCTTCTAGAAGTATCTTATGTAGGTCTCCAGACATTTGATCCTAATAACTACAGTATCCTGCTACCAATTTTGAAAATGTTATGGCAGCCGAAGCCGGTTTGGCTCAGTGGTAGAGCGTCAGTCTGCGGACTGAAAGGTCCCGGGTTCGATTCCGGTCAAGGGCATGTACATTGGTTGCAGGCACATCCCCGGTAGGGGGTGTGCAAGAGGCAGCTGGTTGATGTTTCTCTCTCGTCGACGTTTCTGGCTCTCTATCTCTCTCCCTTCCTCTCTGTAAAAAAAAAAATCAATAAAATATATTTTAAAAAATGTTATGACAGCAAAAAGGCACTATTTCAGTGTTTTAAAACTGCCCATGAAAACTCTTGCCCTCTGCTCTATTCCCATTTACAGCAAAGAAGAAATTAGCAGAAACAATATTTGGCAAATATTGTGCTAAGTGATACAAACCAGTCACAGGACAAATACTGCAAAATTCCACTTACATGAAGTGTCTAAAATAGTCAAAGTCATAGAAGCAGAGAGTAGAATGGTGGTTGCTAGGGGTTGGTGGGTGTTTGAGATGGGAGTTACTAATCAACGGACAAAAAGTCTCAATTATGTGAGATGATTATGGTCTAGAGATCTGCTGTACAACATTGTACCTATAGTCAACAAAAGTGTTGTGTACACTGAAATATTTGTGAACAGAGTAGATCTCATGTTGTGTTCTTACCACAATAAAATAAAATTTATAAAGCATTTATTATCAGCCTTACTATTCTACAGTTCTGGTTGTATGTGTACATTATCCATACTCATATATTTAAGAAACCCATTAAGAGCATTTTCTGTTATTTGGATTTTCCCGCTACCCTTCCTTTCATTAAAAGTAATAGCCAATAGCAACATAATCTTTATCTTTTGTTAATGAAATAATGCCGTTTATTTTATTATTAAATGCAGCTTTTCTAAATTATTAATAATTTAGCTTTTGTGCAAAGTTTAACTGAGCATCGCCAAAACCAGGTAGATGAAAACAAATTCACATTTTATAGTGATTACTGTTTGAGGTAAAATAATAGCATTAATACCTAAAATCTTGCCCATGAACATAGACATAAGAGTGGTAAAGGCCTAGAGCCTGGAGCGGGGCAGGAATCGAGTGGTGGGGGGATGGGGGATAAAGAGGGGGACATTTGGTGGGGGGAAATACCTCAAAACAAGTCTTGTTTTAGTTAATAAATGAAGTACCTTTACATTTATATTTGTTGCAAAGATATGTTTTCAAGGAAAACTGACAGTTACACTGCTCACTGCAAACCTACAATAGAGATAATTTCAAGTAATCTTTAGTATTTAGAGAAATTCAAAAAACCTTTGCATAAATGCTTGAAGTTTTTCAAAATGGAAATAGCTCTCTCTTTTTTAAATCATCACCTGGAGAGAGAGAGAGAGAGAGAGAGAGAGAGAGAGAGAGAGAGAGAGAGAGAGAGAGAGAGAGAGAGAGAGAGAAGAGAGAAGAGAGAAGAGAGATCAGTTGCCTTCCATAAGTGCCCCATTGGGGATGGAACATACAACCTAGGTATGTGCCCTGACCGGGAATCAAATGGTGCATAGGATGATGCTCAATCAACTGAGCCACCCTGCCTGGGCAGGAAATAGCTCTTTTTAGGATTGTTGTAAAAATTTATAGAGATGCACAAATCATAAAGGTTCCTATTTAATCTCATCTTCCTGGAAAGAACACTATTTGTAGCTTGCTACAGATCCTTTTGGATTTTATTAATGCCCATATAAACATGTAAAATAATTTTTACATAAATGAAACTATAATACACTGTTATAACATTATACTATAATATACTGTTCTATACCTGTATATTTGAATCTTTCTATGTTACTGCTGATGTAAGCATCTATCATTGTATAAGAACCTTTTATATACTTGCCTGGCATCCCATCTCACAAACATTTATAATTTAATCAATCCCCAACTGATAGACATTTATATCCTTTTCAACCATTTATTATTATATAAATAATAATAAGGACCCTAATTTTCTTAAGCCAGCGTGCACTGACCCAAACATTGCAGACATAGTTCATTAGTAATGTAATTAAGACAAACCCACTAAGATTCAGCTGCATCTTTTTAATAATCTGGGCTGTAGTATTATGGAAAAGTATGCTTTGTGAGTTTCCCTTAGTTAAATTTCTACTAAATTAATATATACATTATATGTATGTGCCTACACAAGTCCTAGAAAGTAACGTGGAACATTTAATCAGCATATTTGTTAAGTGTATAGAATTATAAGGGCTGCTTCCTTTTTAAACTTTATTGCCATATGTTTTTAGACAATAAACTTGAGGGGGGGAAATCTCATTTTTACTGCTTTACAATTCATTTAAAAATCCGAATCTTTCATGAGCATAGCCTTTGACCATTTTCCAGCTAGCTCAAAGAGCCTCACAAAATTGTTGTATTGATAGCATGTCTAATAAACACTTTCCCAGCTGAAGACATGAAAAAAATACCACTTCAAAACTTCTCAGAAAACAATCTCAATTTGTTTTAAAATTTGATAGTCCTAGCCAATTTGGATAGAGCATTGGCTTGCAGACCGAAGGGTCTCAGGTTCAGTTCCAGTCAAGGGCACATGCCTAGCTGTGGGCTCAATCTCCAGTGTGGGGCATGCAGGAGACAGTTAATGATTCTCTCTCATCATTGATGTTTCTGTCTCTCTCTCCCACTCCCTTCCTCTCTGGAATCAATAAAAATATGTAAAAAAAAATTTAGTTCAGAAAAACTTAATAGAAAACCTGAGAATCCTATATACTGGAAATCACACATAATTCACTATAGTCATGTGACAAATCTGATGTTTTGGTCAACTACAGACTGCATATGCAACTGCAGTTCCCTAAGATTATAATGGAACGGAATAATTTTTACCACCTAATGATACTGTAGCCATCACAATGTCATAGCACATTACTCACACTTTTTTGGTGCTGCTGGTATAAACAAACCTACTGAGCTACCATTTGTATAAAAGTACAGCACATATAATTATGTACAGCACATAATTCTTGATAATGATAATAAAAGATGATGTTACTGGCTTCTGTATTTACTATACTACATATAATTTTTATCATTATTTTGTAGTATACTCTTTCTACTCTAGAGTTTGCTATAAAATAGTATGCCATGTTATGCAGGCCACAGCAGCCTCACAGGTCTTATGTTTTCCATATCTCTTGATTGCATCATTTTCTCTTGTGCTTGATTTAATCTCGTGTTGTTTTGGGCATTAACATGCTACACAGGTTTGTAGCCTAGAAGCAATAGGCAATACCATATAGCCTAGGTGTGTAGTAGACTATACTACGTAGGTTTGTGTAATTGCACTCTATGATGTTTGAACAACAAAACTGCTAATGACACATTTCTCAGACTGTATCCCAGTGATTGAGTGACACATGGCTGTTTTAAAAAAATAAACAAGTTTAAAATAGCACTTTGTCAACATAGACTAAATCATCCACCATTACACTCTATTAAAGAAGAAAACTTTACTCAATTCCATATTAGAAACATATCGCCCTTGCTCTAGAGCAGTGTTTCCCAAATTTTTGACATATGTGTACCCCTTCTATAATTTTCATAACACTGACTACCCCTCGTAATCATGAGAACGTAGAATTAGGCGCAGCTAAGCACGATGCAGTGCATATCCCCACCAAACTCCGGTGCAACGCATACCCCCACCAAACTCTTCCTGTACCCCTGCGGGTACGAGTACCACACTTTGGGAAACACTGCTCTAGAGTGTCCATAGAAGTGGAAACCTTGTAAGACAAAGAAAGCCAACCCAACAGACCCTACCAAATAAGAAGTTCAGTGAAGCCATAGTCAGCCACAGATTCAACAAACCATTGACTTGCAGTTGGAGGATGCGGAACCCATGATACAAAGGGCCAAATAAGACACTTGAGCAACTGCTGATTTTAGTAATGGGGGGAGGGGAGGTCTGGAGCCAGTCATCCTTGGGTACCGAAGGACAATTGTACTCTGTGCCTAGAACATAATGGTACACTAGACAAATAAGAGGCCTGCTTTCATTGAGCTTCCTGACATCGTTTTTTGTGTGTTTTTTTTTTTTTGGTTTTTCAAAATAGAGATCACCACATGTTATTCCAGTATCACCTAATTTCATTTATTTATCTACTTCAATTTTACCATAGAAGAATACTTTAATATACTTCAGATACCAAAGATTCAGTATAAAAATAAAGTAAGAATAAAATGCTCAATTAATATACATTGTAATTATTTAGACTTTCAGGATAATTTTTCACCTGAATTCTCATACACTAAAAAAATAAAAGAGGATAGCCCTAGCTGGTTTGCCTCAGTGGATAGAGCATTAGCCTGCAGACTCAAGGGTCCCGGGTTCAATTCAGGTCAAAGACACATGCCCAGGTTGTGGGCTCAACCTCCAGTAGAGGGAGTGCAGAAGGCAGCCAATCAATGATTCTATCTCATTATTGATGTTTCTATCTCTCTCTCCCTCTCCTTTCCTCTCTGAAATCAATAAAAATATATTTTAAAATAAAAGAGGATAAAAATATAACTAAACTTTTAACTCTTATTCTTGGCTATTAAACTGGTTTGTTAAATACAAATGAGTTCCAAAGATCACTTTTTTTTTTAACTATTTGAATGCCATAAGCATCTATAGCTGCAAGCAACAGACCTTTTTTAATTAAATTAAAAATATCACACAAAACTCTGGGGAGGGAGGGCATGTATGGGAGTATGTGGGGAGAATTGGTAAGATATGTACACACATAATACCTTAATAAAAAAATGAAAAAATAAATAAAATTTAAAAATATACATATATCATGGCAGTTAAATTATGAATGTAACATAAAAAAACAAATATCCATATTTTATGGTCTTTCTTGTTCTAGAGAAAGCATTGTGAAAGGGGAATCTTGAATATCATAAATATTTATAAGTCAATATTGATCTAAGGTCAAAGTGGCATTTGACAAAGGGTCTCTTTCAGCTTCAAAATAAGAAAAGCTGGTCCTGGCAATCAATAACAGTTGCTGAGAAAAAAATCAATCTACTACTTACTACCTAGGCCCTAGTTTTGTTATCACCAGAAAATGTGGGCACTCCCTACATGGACTGAGAAGCCTTGTCTACAGTAAATTAAAGAGGCATTACTCCCTGTGTTATCAAAATAAACATGCTAAGATGAACAGACTGATAGAGAATCTATGAATTAATATAATGACAAATAGACTTTATGTGACAATTTCAAGGGCAGCTGCTATTACATTTATATATCACTATCAAAAATTTCCCATGATTTTCTATGGAAAATTTATCTACCTCCTCTTTTAATGGGGTTGGAGGGAGATAATGAAAAATTTAAAAGGAAAGATGCCCAAAGAGTTGAAGATGAGGATACTGTCAATGTTGAAATAATATATCATAACACTTCTGTATATCTAAGCTGGAAGGAAATGGGAAATAAAGAGGGATTGAATCAATAGCCCACAGGGGATATTATAATCTACTTAGTTTAATTAACTTCAACTTTAATGACTTTTTGTTTTGTTTTTTTCAGAAATAATATAAACAGTGCACCAAGCTTGGCCTATTGCCAAACACAATCTTTCCTTCTTAAGACTAATTAAATGAGAAAGGATATAGGAAAGTCACAGGAACAAGAGTGTATAATTGCCAAATTGTGATAGCATTATAAAGTACAGTGCCTGCATTCTCAGGTTTTATAGATTTAAATGTTATGGGAACATTTGCCTTCTCCTTACAGGACCCTCTAGTCCTCTCCTCTGAAAGTCCAGCTCTAGACCTCGGCTTGATTTTAGGTATCTAATCTCTAGGTTCTGTTTCAAAAGTAGTTGATTATTTTTAAATCAACAGATTATTTTTCTTTTTTAATTACTTTATTAAGGTATCACTTATTTGTCCTCATCCCCCCCATTCCCATCCCAAACCCTCCCCATGCATGTCCCCACTCCCCTGTTGTCCGTGACCACTGATTAGGCTCATATTCATGCACACAAGTCCTTTGGTTGATCTCTCTCCCTTATCCCCACCCTCCCCTACCTTCCCTCTGAGGTCCGACAGTCTGATCGCTGCTGTTCTTGTTCATCAGTCTATGCTGTCTATCATTTCCCCTAGATAAGTGAGCTCATGTGATACTAGAAATACACTTATAAGAACAGAAAATGAGACAATTCTAGTACTTATTCTTAGATCCCTGATTATTTTAAAGTTAGAAATGTGTAAGACCTCAAAAGAGCTTTAAAAATAACCCAAAATTACCTGGTTGAAAAGACTGCTCAAAAAATAAGCTATCACTTAATGGTTCCTTTATTCTTTTTTCCTCTTCTTCCTTTTGTTGCTCTTTTGCAGAAGGGAGAAGAGTAGCCACAACCTCTTTCTTTCCTAAAGCCTTTCTCTCGCTTTGTTCGGAAACTTGCAGACGGAATTTGTCTATTACTCCATAGTGACAGGATCGAACATCTTTATGACGAATCACACTGAAAACATTAAAAAATAACAAATGCTGTTTAGGTTTCGGGGGTGGGGGCTGTCAAACAGAATTCAGCAAGAGATTTCATACATTCAAATAATATTAACTGATTATCACCAAATATTCAAATACAGAGATTTGCTAATGAGGCTTTTTTTTTTTTAAATCACAGAATAACCCAAAAGGAAATGGGTACTGCTGAAATATTCGATAAAAGCACATACTCTAAAACAGAGAATAAAAGTAAAATATGATGGGCAGCTCTAGTCGGTTTGGCTCAGTGGATCAGCTTGCGAACTGAAGATTCCCAGGTTTGATTGCAGTCAAGGGCACATGCCCAAGTTGTGGGCAAAGAAAATTCCTTTTGGCAATGACTTCTTTTCTGGATATCTGAATATAGTAATATTTACTAAATAAGATATATGAAATTGTTTCTTCCTCCACAAAAAAGTTTCTATTGCCACTTATTCAAAAATATTAACATATTTTACAAACCTCACCCTAGATTTAAAATCTGAAATCCATGAATGCAGATAAAAATAAGTATTTGCATGAGTAATCCAGTGTGACCAATCCAACAGAAGGCTAACAATACACTTCTGAAAAGAGTATAAAGCACTTCAATGTTTACCAATTATCTGAAATTCCATATATTTTACTTTGTTCTTAATAAGGAACACAGAATAACTAGGTCAAAGGTTACACATTTTTTTGGCTAGAAACTACATTTCTTTGGAATAGTCCTTGCTTATTTTGTACTGAATGAAAATCAAAAGAAATGTGCAAAAACACATTCTTAAAGATACATCATTTTAATGTTGTAAGTCTATTAAAAAGAAAAGACTTCTGCCTCTCATTCTCCCAGAAAATTTAAACAAATACAGTTCAATTAAGGGCTGTTCAATTGATCCATCTGGTCATCACCAGTTCTAAAGTGAAAATTAAGTATGAACAGCCTGAACAAACAGTCATTTATCTAGCACTCTAAGAAGAAATTATCTAGAAGAGCTCAGATAACCTTTTATAGATGAGTAGTTATGCACTTGCTTCCTGTTTGTATAGATTAACTTCAAAACTTATTAGCTGAATCATTTTGGATGAACTTATATTACTGTTGCCCTGAGAGTGTAGTATTATTAGTTTCCCAAATTTCACTATAATAGCAAGATGTTCCAAAGAAAGTTGAATTTCTTAATCATAGCTAGAGAAATTTAAAGGAATAAGTTAAAACTTTACCTTCATAAATGTCCATTATAACTAAAAGCACAACAATGAGGAAATGTTCACAGAAATATTAACACACATCAGTACTAACATAATGAAATATTATTAAGTATTTGTTTGACCTATTTAGAATCCATTAGTAACTTAAGAATTTATTTTTTTTAATTCAACTTCTTGGTTTGATATTGGTTAATAAAATTATACAGGTTTCAAGTGTATAATTCTATAATGCCTTAACTGTGTATTGCATTGTGTGAGCACCACCCAAAGTCAAATGTTCTTCCATTACCATATATTTCACTCACTTTACCCTTTACTACCTCCCAAAAAATTTTGATAGACTAAAACTTTCAGCAAAAAATCAAAGTATAATAAATGCCTATGTGGGGATAGCTTCAAGAAAAAAACCTTTTCAAGTTAAACATATAAATATTAACACATTTAAAACATGTTACCAGGAAGTAGTTGGGACTTACATATCCACACAACACTGAGGCTTTACTGCACCTGCAGCATCAACGACAACATACTTATTTGGAGTAGTACACAAAACTGAAAGAAAAAGTCACAATGACCATTAGTGTTTTTAAAAAAATTAGTTTCTACAAGTAAAAAAATTAGTAGGGACTAGTTAAATCCATCAAATAGACCTAGGAGACTCACCTTTGAACTTTAAGGCAAACTCATAGGGATTATATAAAGTCAGCACTTGCTTATGTGTTGACTGGTCATCTGCATAAAATATTAGTTCTGTGGGAAACACAAAAACAGGAAGATTTCCTTTCACTAACTCTAGTTGTCTTTTTTGTTGATGCATTGGCACTGAATCCCCCTTGCTGCAGCTTCTGTTTTCACAGTCTTGACTCTATTTTGGACTTTCCTTAAAGTCAGTTAAAAATTCCAAAGCATTTTGGCAATCTAGAAAGAGAAGAGAGAAAGAAAACTGAATGATACCTGTTTTTATTTGCTGTCCCACCATGAAAAAGCATGTTTAATGTGCATTAAAATAGACCCCCAAATAATTTAAACAAGCATTTTGACTTTTCTTCTAGGCTTTTAGCTAACTAAGCAAAGAAATTTATACATGTTTCTTTCACATTCAAGGTTTCAACCTTCCACAAATAACATTAATACCTGAATGAGGGATTAAAGGCTTTGTACTTCAATTTAATAGCCCTTTTCAAAACAATGAGATCAGAGACATCACTCTTTTTAAATTTCAATTTTTTTAATAAAGTAAATATTCCCTCCACCAATCTTATGTGAGCCAATCAGAATTCTTAAAGACTAAAGAAATACATAGAACAGCTCTAGCTGGTTTAGCCTAGTGGATAGAGCATCGACCTGCAGACTGAAGGGTCCCAGGTTCAATTCCAGTCAAGGTCAAGTACCTTGGTCACAGACACATCCCCAGTGGGGGGGAGGGGGCTGGTGGTGTGCAGGAGGCAGCTGATCAATGTTTCTCATCTCTATCCCTCTCCCTTCCTCTCTATAAAAATCAATAAAATAAACAAATAAAATATATAGAACAAAGCAAGTTTCCACAGTTTATGGAAGAAAAAGATGAGAATCATTTTCACACTCATCTCAACAATACGATAGTGCCTTCAGGAAGCATGGATGGCAGAGTTATTTCAAACTTTTTTCTACCGAAACCAAAGATAAGCAAAAATGTCTGGAAGTCGAATATCCAAACTGTCCATGGAGTTTTCTATGAAATTTCAAAGTCAGTAAGTAGGTCTTGGTATGTGGGTGGCACTGTGCCTCCCCCCCGCCCCCTCCACATCAAGTGTACAGACTTCCTGAGAGCTATTATATTTTCTTCTTTAAACTTCAAAGACCTTGCTGGATTCCTTCGGGGGTTGTTGAATATGTTCCAGACAGTTGTAACTGGCATAAGTCTGACTGATAAGTGCAATTTTCTGTATTTGTCTCCGAAACCAATTTCAAGCAACATTACTTAGCTAGTACCCTGTGTGACTTTTTCAAATAAAATACAAAAGCTAAAACATACAATCACAGGAAATACCTGATTCTCACCCTGTAGATCACACATTTAAAACAAGTCATAAGCATTTAATAGTTTGCTTTCAAGTTCTCATGTATTCAAAGTAAATATAACAAATGATTAATTTTTGTTGTTGTTGTTTTACCGGCCTTTAGAGTACACGTGTTGTGATTCTGATTTAAGCCTTTCCCACTTTTATCAAATAGGATACTGTATAGTCATGCATGCACATTTTTATCCTTTTCTTTCAACTGAATGCCTATTATATATAGGCCTGACACTATGTCAGGAGCTGTACAAAGATACAAAGATAAATAATGCACAGGCCTTGTCCTCAAGAAACTCAAGTCTCACTGATAAAATAAATATTAAAGCTGTCTCTATTATAATGCACACTATTGTATATTAAGTACTAGGAGATTATAAGACTACTAGTACATGAATAATTCTACCTGGAAGAGAGGCCAGGAGATGGCACTTGAAGTAGTTCTTAAAGAAAAAGATACACACTTCTATGCTAGGGGTAGGGGTTAGAGATAGGTATGGAGGGTATTCTGACTGAGGGAACAGCATAAGCAAAGATGCAGAAACATGAAGATAAAAAAGAATGTTGAAAAGGTCCTAATCAAGGCCCTGGCTGGGTAGCTCAGTCCCCATACACCAAACTTGCAGTTCCATCCCTGATAAGGTTACATATAAGAGTCAACCAATGAATGCATAAATAAGTGGAACAAAAATTGATGTCTCTCTCTCTCTCTCTCTCTCTCTCTCTCTCTCTCTCTCTCTCTCTCTCTCTCTCTCTCTCTCTCTCTCTCTCTCTGTCTGTCTCTGTCTCGCCCTTCTTCTCTCTTTAACTAAAAAATATCAAAAATACTGTCAGGAGAACCAAGATGGCAGGGTAGGTAAATGCCTGAACTCACTGCCTCCCACAGCCACATCAAAATTACAACTAATATATAGAACAGCCATCATTCAGAACCGCCTGAATAAAAAAGATTAAATAAATTTTAAAAAAAGAACTGCCTGAAAGCTAACTGAATGGAAGTCACACAACTATTAAAGTAAAGAAGAAAGCACACTGAGATTAGTAGGAGGGTAGGAGGGGTGGAGGCATGGAACAGTTGGCCCAACACCTGTTGTTTTAAAATTGGGAGGGAGATTGTGTGGAGGCTACCCTTGAGGAGTAAGGGGTCCCAACCCCCCTTCAACCCCCCCGCCCCCTGCCCAGGGTTCCAGAGCTAGGAAGAGAAGTCCCTGTAACTTTGGGCAGTAAAAACCAGCAGAGATTGTGGTTGAATGACAAGGAGGCTGCTGAAGTCCCAGGTGCTCCTCTTAAAAGGACATCACAAGAACTTACATGTTTGGCATCAGGACAGAAACTTGGAGATGGCTTTCTCCCAGACAGGGGTGTTAGCAAGGGTAATTGTTCCTGGGCTGGAACCTCCCCTGTTGCAGGGTTGACTGGCATCCGTATGAGTCTCAACCAGCCTAGAGCGCACTGTTGCTCCACCCTGGAGATTCCCTGAGATCCCACGCAACCCAATTTACAGCCCCACCCAAGCTGTTTGCAACAGCTTTTCCATATGAATGGTCTGTACTGGCTCAGGCTTCAGATTTTGCTAAAATCTGTCAAACAAACTTCAGCTGGTGACAGCATGCCCCAAACCTATCACTGAAGGCTCAAGACCTGGCACTAACACCAGCCTGCCCTACTTCACTGCTGGACTTTGCCTTCTGCACAGCAGCTCTTCCACTGTAGTTGAAGCTGGTCCTCAAAACCAATTGACCTGAAGGTCAATTACTCCCAGAGAGGCCAACAGCAATCAAGACTCAACTACAAGACAGTGTTCACAGCCCACACAGGGGCACACCTAGAGAGCCCAGCTCAGGTGACTGGGGAGACTGAGCCACTGGGACCTATAGGACACATACTACAAAAGGCCACTCTACCAACTCTAGGAAACATAACAGCTCTATCTAACACATAATAACAAACACAGGTTTGCAGCCAAAATGCAGAGACAAAGAAACATGTCACAAATGAAATAGATTGAAGCAAGCAAACTACTGGATACAGAGTTCAAAAGAATAGTTATAAGATTACTCAAGGATCTTAATGAGACTTCTTAATGAGAGCTTCAAGAAACTTAGTGAGCCGAAACCGGTTTGGCTCAATGGATAGAGTGTTGGCTTGGGGACTGAAGGGTCCCAGGTTCAATTCTAGTCAAGGGCATGTACCTTGGTTGCAGGCATATCCCCAGTAGGGGGTGTGCAAGAGGCAGCTGATCGATGACTCTCTCTCATCGATGTTTCTGACTCTATCTCTCTCCCTTCCTCTCTGTACAAAAATCAATTATATATATAGAAACTTAGTGAGACTTTCAAGGATCTTAGTAAGAATATCAAAAACATAAAGACCAGTCAGAAATCAAGCATTCACTAACTGAAATAAAGAATAATTTACAGGGAGTCAACAGTAAAGTAGAGGATTCAGAGAAGCAAATCAATGATTTGGGATACAAAGAAGCAAAAAAACAATCAGAATTAAAAAAATAAAAAGAATCCAAAAATATGAAGATAGTTTAAGGAGCATGTAGCTTCAAGTATTCCAACATTCACATTATGGGCGTACCAGAAGGAGAAGAGAGAGAGCAAGCTATTAAAAACCTATTTGAGAGAAACCAATATGGCAGCATAGATAAATACCTAAACTGCTGCCTCGCACAACAATTTTAAAACTACAACTAAAAGAGAAAATGTCTATCACCCAGAACCACGGGAAAGCTGGCTGAGTGGAAGTTCTACAACTAGAAAGAAGGAGAAAAGAGCATTGAGACATGCAAAAGCACTGAAAAGCTGAGGTACGAAAGTGGAGGTTCGAGAATCGGCTGGTGGTTGCCGATTGGATATGCTGCTTTTTTTCACCCCAAAGGGAGACAAGTTCCCGATTACTCTGAAATCCAGTTTCTGGGTAGACAATGGGGACCCCAACTCCTAAGGAGAGAAGCTGGACTGTTGGCCAACAGGTCGGAAAGTGAGGGTGACTTTCTTGCAGAGGTGCAGCCAGCAATCATTATTTACTGCACTGAAGCATGGGATGCGGGGTCTTGGAAACACAGAAACACAGAGAAGGCTGACAGGTAGCCATCGTTGTTAGCCACGCCCTAGCCTAGTGACACCCTGAGACTCTGCCCCACACAATCTACAAACCCACCCTAGCTCCACACAGTGGCTTTTGCATATAAATGGCCTGCCCTATTGCAGCTTAACCTAACAAACTACAGCTCCAATCAGACAGCTCCAAAACCTCCAAACCCCAAACAAAGAGGAGAAAACTATAGTTCTCACTGTAGCTCCTGCTGGGTGGCCTCAGACAGTACCTGACCTGCACCCCATTGGAAATCCATAAACTAGTGTATCCATTGGTCTGTGTGAGAAGACACCAGATTTCAACTATCCTCATAAGGGACACATTCAAGAGGCAGACTCAGTAAGCACCAAAGCCCCACTGAAACAAGTTCTGCCCACTAAGTGTGTCCCCAGCACATTAATACTCACAGCCAATTGGCCTGGAGATCAATTCCTCACCAACAACAATCAAGACTTCACTACAACAAGACTGTACACACAGTCCACAAAGGGGTGCACCAAAAGTGTCCACTTCAGATAACTGGGAGGCTGACCCATTGGACCATATAGGACACCTAGCACACAAAGCCATCCTATCAACTCAGGGAAGCAGCAAAAAAGGAGACAAGGAAACAGATCACAAATGAAAGAAATGGAGGAAAGCAAATGACTGGATATAG